TGAATTCATCCTTGGATTCAGTCTAGCTGGTGTACTCTGCTTCTTAAATGGTTGCCTGATTATCATTCATTAAGGTGGGGAAATTTTCCTCTAGGAATTCCCTCACTATTTTTGTTGTAGGCTTCTTTGTTGTGTTTTATTCTGGTAATCCAATTATTCGAACATTGTTCCTCTTCATAACATGCAACATTGTCGTCAGGCGTTCTTTGGTTTCTTTGATTATCTTGTTTGATTGTTTTTCCCATTTGTTGGAGTCTGCTTGGTTATCCTCAAGGTAACTGATAAGATTCTCAGCTTCTTCTAAAGTTTTCAGAGTCTGTTAATTTGCTATTTGCTTTTGTTACCTCGTCCCTTAACTCTTGTTCTTCCTTTCAGTGCTGTCCCGTAGCGCTTGTATTTCCCTTTGGTGCATTGACTTTATCTCCTCTATGGTTTCATCCTTTTTCAGTAATGCTTCCCTTATGTCCTGTATGACTCCAAACCGCATTCTGAAGATTTTTTTCTGTGGTAGCACAACGTCTACTTGTTCTATGCACGTTACCAGAACCTCTAGTCTTCCTCTGACAATGAGTTTTGTTTTTCCTGTTTTGTTGTTGTTGTTGAAGTTGTGGGTGGCTGATATCTGTGTGTTGTTTTGGAGGAGCTTGGTGCCGTTTTCAGGGAATCAAAGAGCCCTGGGCTGTCTCTTTGTGGGGCTGGTAGAAATGTTTATGTGGGCTACCTAAAGCTAACTGTGCCAGAGGGTTGAACTACTTCTTTATCTCCTTAGGGTTTTACTCTCCTTAGACAGCTAGGATTCCCTATTTGTAGGGCAGGTCTGGTAAGGCATGCAAGTGGGGCGGTCTCAGAGCATGCAAGTGGGGCAGTTTCAGGGCAGTGAGTGAGGGTGTCAGATAATGATGAGGAAAACCCCACTGCCACAGCCAGTAGTGCTGAGTGAAATCAGGGAAAGTCATACTGCCGCTGGAGAAGGTACCAGGAGAAAGTATTTTGCCATGGAGAAAGCCTCGCTGGTGTGGATGGATGTGCTGGGGGAAGGCAGGAAAGGCCCCTCTCCCATGAAAGGGGGTGCCAGGCAAATGTAGGAGAAACCCCACTGCCAGTGGTGGAGACAACAGGCCATCACGGGGAAAGCCTTGTTGCTGCTGCGGGTGGAGGTGCTGGGCAAATGTGAGCAGGGCCCTGTTGTTTCAGGAGTGGGTGTCGGGTGACAATAGGAAAAGCCTCACTGACACAGGGTGGGGGCGCTGAGCACTGGTGGGGAAACTGCCAGAGCTGTGTGCTGGAGCACTGTGTGAACAAGGGAGGGGCCAAGGCAGTGCTGCACTGTCAGAGCAGGGGAGTGGCTGGCACTACACTGCATGAGCATGGGAGACACAGCTGCTGCAGGGGTGGGGGGTGCCAGGCAATGGTAGGGAGAGCCCCCACCACTGCAGGTGACCAAACTTACTGCAGGAAAACTGTTGGCCAGCCCCTGGGACCCTGGGTGGGTTGTTGGAGGGACCTGAGCTTGGCAGTGAGATCCACCACCACATGGGGAGAAGAAAGCCTTGGGATAAGAGAGCAGCTCACTGAGGGGAGTGCCGCAGATGGACAGTTGCCATGTGGGGTCCAGCCTTGACTGTGAGGGATTCATCAGGGCAGCAGGCCAGCTCCTGGTGTGGAGATCAGACCAGTGGGAGGGCAATCTGTGGGTAGTGACTGAGGCGGCGACCAGGAGTAGAGTGGCTGTTACGGGCTGGGGAATCCTTGGGACCAGGTTGCAGATCCCCAAGGCTCTGGAGTGAGGCCAGGTTTTGGGGAGGGTCACTTCTCGGATCGAGGAAGTACTCCAAGTTGTTGTCAGAATCTTTTCACTTACCAGAATCCCCCCACTCGTCTTCCAGGACACCAGGCTCACTAATCACCATGGAGCTCCCAGTGTGGGCTGTTTACCTGGGTGCCATATTGCAGGAACTCCCTAAACTATATTTCATAGATGCTATGACCCCAGATTAACAGAAACTAAAAACTTTTAATTATGATTTGGTTGAATTTACAGAGTAAATTAGTTTTCCATTCAACATTTCATACACATTTGATTTGGAACACAGATTGCAATTCCCACAATGTAACAATTCTCTTCCCGCTTCCTCCTTGAGTTTACCATTTATATTCGTCCATATTTTGCATCCTTTCCTGCCTTATATAAGGAACCCTGGTGGTATAGTGGGCTACACAGCAGGCTGTTGGTCACAGTTCAAGCCCACCAACCATTCCATGGGAGAAAGATGAGGCTATCTACTACAATGAATATTTAAAGTCTCAGAACCCCAAAGGGGCAGTTCTACCCTACCCTATAGAGTTGCTATGAGTTGGAAACTACTTGATGGCACCGAGTTTTTGTTTTGTTTCTCAGTTTCATGATTTATGAATTTCAAACCTGGAGAAAGTTGCCCTTTTGCTCTCATATAGTTGATTGTTCTAAAGAATGCATACCTCCTTTGTGTTAGAGTTCACCTTATAGGCCAGTCTATCATTTGGCATAAAGTTAAATGAGTTCAATTCCATGCTTGAAAGGTGCCATAGTCTTGGAGTTTCTACCAGTCTCTATCAGACTAGTAAACTTAATCTTTTTTATGATTTTAGGTTTTGTTCCACATTTTTCTCCCACTCTATCCAGGATCTTCTATTGTGATCCCTTTCAGAATGGTGAGCAGTGTTAGAGGGAAACCACCTAGCCCTTCTGATTTCATGGCTCTGGAGGCTGGGTTTCACATGGTCCATTAATTCTTTGGAATTTGCATCAATTACTTCTTTGTGTCTTTTCTTCACTTTGGACTGGGAGAGACCAATAGTTGTAGCTGAGAGGTCCACTTTGAAGCATTTAAGACCCAGTTACTATTGAGTGCAATAGGAGGTAAGATACTGTCTTTGTGGACTATGTTCTTAAACAACCTTAGTATGGACTCATTCCCTCGAGGTGTTTGATTATGATTAAGACATTTTCATAACTGTTCTCCCTTTTTATTCTACATGAATATATTTGCAGCATATATATACTTATATATTTACATAGAAATATCCTCTTTCAAGCTGTATATATTTGTGGGTGTAGCCCCATTCACCATCCCACCCTTGTTGTTTGTGTGACTTGCTATATATCCACTCATAAATTACTGTCATTATTGTTATTGTAAGATTGGGCATGTTCTAGTTCTACACTATAACCCTTGTGCTCCTCTCATTTGCCTTGAACAGTTTGTGCTGACCTCCCTTTATTATATATTTTCTTTCTCTTTTCCCAAGTTAAGGTGTAGCTACCCTCTACTTGGTGATTTATAGTCCTCTCCCCTCCCATCTGTGGTAACTTTCAAATAATGTTTATATTTGCATATAAACTTATTCTTAAGGTTTTTAGTAGTGGCCTCATGCAATAATTGTCCTTTTATGATTGACTAACTTCATTCATCATCATGTCTTCTAGGTTTATCTATATTCTGCGGTATTTTGTGCTTTTTCTTTAACATTATGTTGTATTCCATTGTGTGTATGTACCATAGTTACTTTATCCTTTCATCCATTGATGGGCACTACATTGTCCATCTTTTTGCTATTTTGAATAACAGCAATGAACATGGATACACTTATATCTGTCTGTATTATGGCTTTTATCTCTCTAGGCTTTACTTGTATACACATACATACACTTTGGAAGCCCTAGATTATCATAAATTGGCAATCATTTTTTCTTCATCATTTTGGGAATTGTTTACCCCTGGAACAGTGGCAAAGAGGGTGATGTGAAGGCAGCTATTATTATGATTTAACACAGCTTGGGCACGAGTTATAAAGAGTCTTGTTGTTTCTGGATTCCTTTATATAAGTGTGTTTTCCTAGATGTTTAAGTTTTGCAAATGCCAACAACTGAAGTAGGCATTTAAAATATTTTTTCTTTTCTTTTATTACCTTGTTCAATTACAGCTATAGGTAGAATTTCATAGGAGCATGGTTGAAAAAACCACGTAAATGGTGGGATTATAGTTGTGTAAATTCTAACTGCTTGCCACAAGGCCCTAACAGGGTCTGAAGAAATAATGCTCGCTATGTTGGAATGGCAACAGGAGTGCTCTTTCAGTCCACTGAAATCTACTTCAGTGTCATTAAATTGTTCCCAAAAGGTAAAAATACCATGAAGGGTTTATATAGCTTTAAAATATTATCATAGTTTCTAGTTTATATATTGTCTCTACTAAATTCTTCGGTACAGTGAAGTTTATCATACAGTATAAAGGTTTTAAACTTTAAAAATATGTATTTTAAATAAACTTTTAAAATTAGGTTGGAAGGTCTTCTCTGATTTTAAAACTAATAAAGTACAAGAGTGCCTTCCAAACAAACAAACAAACAAACTCACTGCCATTGAGTTGATTCTGACTTGGATGGCACTGATTTTAAGTGTTGGACGCAAGGTTTCCCATTAAGTGGACATAGTGCAAAAAAAGATAAAGGACACACGATATGCTTCCCCCTTTCTAGCTCTAGGGTCAATAGTGGAAACCCTAGAAAGTATGCAGTGAAAATATTTTGGCATGTGACTGAGACAGTCTACTTCTTGAAGGTTCAAGAGGTTGAGTTGTTGAGACGTTGGCCTCAGGTTGGGCTCCCTGTGTTTGATGTCAACTCTTGCAATACTATCTTTGGTACTTTGGGCCAGTCACATAACCACTCTGGGCCTCAGGTTCATCATCTATAAGATGGGGAAAATATATGCCTAGATCAAAGAGTTAATCTGGGCTTGAATAAGATAATTCTGGCACAGCAGCTCAATGTGTACCCATCACATGGTGAAAGCTCCTTAAATGTTCTGTTGTCATTACTTTAATAATTTATATTTTTATATGGGCACCCATTTTAGCCATTTAGAAGCATTGTCAGCTAACATTGTCAATTAACAGTTGATTTTCTAGGAAATGGGAAGAGTACTAATAGCAACTCTATTCTTGTTTTGGGCCTGGCAGATTATTGCGAACCATCACATGCAGTCCATCTCCTTTGCCTCCGGTGGAGACCTGGTAAGTGCTCCAGAGCTGCTTCGTTCCTGTGAGGACTTTCTGAGATGAGAGCCCTGCTTCAAAAGATGCCTCTTAGGGCATTACACAGAAAGCTAACTGTGATGATCACTACCCATCCCCTGCTGGTTTCAAAAGCTCTTTATGACTATACTTTTTCAGGGTCAAGCCAATACAAGGATTAACTTTTAGTATTTATTTCATTAGCCAAAAGTTGTTAGAAGTCCTTGAGACATTGTCTCTTTTAAGAATTAATAAAGTATTTTCTATTTTTCTAAGTTGCCCGGGTATTCTCATATTGTAGCTCTATGATTTTTATCACTCTCTTTTTTCTAATTAACCTCCACTAGGATCTTCATTTTTATGTTGTAAGTCTACTTGGAGGCTGTAAATTTGCTTAGTTTTGTATATTTGTAAACATTTAAAATTTGGTATTTTTTTTCTCTCCAAATTCAACATCAGTCTTTCGGCCATTTTTGTTGCCAACAAGCTCGGAGATGTAGAGACAAAGAGAGGCAGAAAGAGTGAGAAAGACACACACACAGATAGAGAACAGAGAGAGAGAGATAAGAAAAATAAATGAGAATGTTTTCTTTTGCATCACTTCTTTTATTAAAGTAGTGAGATACAAGGAAATTTGATCCTGCAGTGTAGATTCATAATCTAAAATGTAGATTCATGAAAGTTGGGGCTCAAAAGCCTGCCTCCTTAGGCAAGGTGTAAAAACATCACAGGGGGTGGTATCTGACCTTCTCTAACCGCACAAAGGGGAAGGAGAATCAAGGTCAACAGCCCAAGGCTGATTGCTGTGAGGTCAAGATCAGACATGCTTCCACCCTCCAACCTTTTCCAAGTTCTGACACCAACTGGCTGTCCCATGGCACTCTCAACTTCTCTGCTGAGTTTGATCATTTGCTGCAACAACCACACAGAACTCACAATTATGGGGTTTATTATGGAAACACCAGGCTACAATTGGAGTTCAGAAGTGTTCAGGATATAGTTCAGCATCTTCTCAGACATACTCACAGACAGGTTTCCCTTCCTCTGTCCTCTTCCCTGCCTGGGCCAGTATTACAGAGCTCCTTTAGCTCTCCCAGAGTCACCCCTCTACCAATATGTTTCAGCCTGAAGGTGCTCAGCTCTAGCTCTGTAGAGCAGCAAACCTAGCTCTACCAAGTGATCAGAGATACCTTACTTTGTCAGCACGTGTCCTCCTTGAAGACACTCATATTTCTCCCTCTGTGGGCTAGGAAACCCCCTGTCTCTTGTCAGTCTCCTGAAATCTCTTGCAAGGCTTCTGCAAATTTCTTGGTTCTGTTTCTGCCATTTCTTTTTTTAATCACTACTTCTCACGGACTATTTCCACCTCTGTGATTATGGTTCTTTTTCTCCTGGGGCAAGAACCTTGTCAGTATAATGATCCCTGGTCCAAGGCATTCATGCCATGCCCATCTCATCCATCTGGTAGTCATGAGGTTCCCTTTTAGGCCCTGGCATTGGCTATCTTTTAAACCTAGGGCGATGCCCAAAATGACCAATCCTCTTGTGGAGGGTGGTTCTACACAAGCCTACAAGGGTGCCAGTCATGCTGCTCACATGATTAGCAAGTTATCTGTTCCCTTTGATGAGCCGCAAAAAAATCATTTGCAAAGTCTCACCCAGTCATTTTGTGAAGGTTAGGTGAGAGATGAGCCATATTGAGTAATACACTACACTGCACAGGGTCATATCCACACACTACTACCTACACATTCACTAGGGCATAAGGTATAAAGATAATAGAGAAGAAAAGAAAGTCAGCCCTTTCCAACAGTCAAGGGAAAAAGGCTCACCCCCAAAATGTTATATTCATTTTTCATTGGTCTGAATAAAGTTTCTACCAGTCCAGGAAAATATTTTGAAATTAGGAAAATGAAGTGTTTTTATGAATTTAATTAAATAATTATTCTGTATCCAGGTATGAGGTATATTTTTTACTTTTTTATAATAAATTAATGCTGGTTTACAGGTGGCTTTTTGTTTTATTTTGGTCTTGTCCTACATTTTTGGCAAAGTTATCATGGGCAATCCTCTAATTTTACATAGAAGTTGACTGGCCAAAGGTTGTCTGAGTAATCAGTGCTTTAAATTACTCCTTATTGAAAGTTGAGAAGCCATGTTTATTTCTAGTCCCAGAAACAGAAATATTTGTGGTGTTTCTGTCATCTAGTTTTCCTCCCATACTTCAGCCTGGCTCACCTGTTTGTAGAATTGCTGTTGTCACATTGAAAACCAAGCTGAGTGACTTGAATTGCAATCTCCAGAGCATCTACCCTTCCAAAGGAGATTACAATTATACAGCCATCAAACCTCTTAGCAATAGGAGAGTCAGTGGCTCCCTCCAACACCATTCATATCACGTTCACATTGTTTCTGCCAGAAAAGCACAGGCTACCGTGGGACACACGGATCAAGAACCTGGCAAGGGGAAGGGTTTGCCTAACCTTTAGTTTTTTGATGTTGTTGTTGTTCTGATATTCATGCTTATTTGTCAAAAGGTCGTCAGAGTGCTGTTCAATCTCTTCATACACAAGGTTCAACTGAGTTCTGCCTTTCACCAGCTTTCACACTTATTTCCAAAAGAACCCTACAATGGTTCCCTTTTATTTTTCTTCCTTTGTCTTATTTTAGTTTTGTGTTTCTGTTCCTTTATTTGTAATTCTTATACAATGTTTTGCTTCACTATAAAATGCATATTTAAAAACAAGAAGTCTTACATAATCGAACCCTTCGAAGACACATAGCTAAGGATTGTATCTATATGTATTTATATCCTTTTGCCTCTGCTTGCACTATACCTTTAATTATGTCTTGGTTAGTTCAAATGATTTTACAGTGGCTGTCTGCATGCTTGCTCAGTGTGGTACATGGAACTACAATTTCTTCTATATCAGAAGATAACCCAATTTATAAAATAAGGGACAGGTATCTTGTATATCTACATCAATAGAATCTTTCAGGGACTTCTCTTAAGTATTGCCTCACTTTAGTTATCTAGTGCTACTTTGACAGAAATGCTATAAAGTGGATGGCTTTAACAGAAAGAAATTTATTCTTTCATAGTTTAGAAAGAAGTTTAGGAGTCTGAATTCAGTGCATTTGCTCTAGAAAGCATTGCTCTCTCTATTGATTCTAAAAGAAAATCCTTGTCCTCTTTCAACATCTGGGCCTGACATTCCTTGGAGACCTACATGTGTCTTGGCATCAATCTTCCTCTGTATTTAAGAAGTTCTCAGCCAACGTTCTTGTTTCCAAAGGATGTGCTTTGCTCTTAACTCTAAGATCTTAGTGGGCTAAGATCTCTCCTTCTCAGCTCACTTCTCTCTTCTTTTTCCTCTTGTAATATAAAGGTATTGCAGAACACACACTGGGGAACTCTACCTCAGATCAGGACTCTGACCTGAATAAGGGTACTATTTCACCCTAATCCTCATATAAATCACATCAGACTACACCACAGGGAATGATTACATAATTACATTGCTGTCAAATTGCATCATTGCATATCTGCCAAGCAGTGCGCATCACAGCCCAGCAAAGTTTCCAAATATTTTGGAGAATGTGCTAGTCTAGGTCCTCTAGAGAAGCAAAACCAGTGATACTTCATCTCTATCTCTATTGGGAGAAAGAAAGAAGGAGAGAGAATTACATCAATAAAGTGGCTCATACAGTTGTAAAAACAGGGAAATTCAGTCTCATTCAAGTCTGTGGGTCAGATGTTAACCTGGCAGCTTATTCTGATTCATGTAGGTATAGGGTCTGGTGAATCAGGAAGCAGGAAAATGACTCAGGAAGACGACAGGCCGGTATATGAAGAGGTTGATGCAAGGTCAGCAGGTCAGATTTGTGACTGTGGACTCCAGTGAATCCTAGGTTAGTATGTCAGAGGGCAGGCTGCTGATTACTTCCAGGGTTGACAGGCAATGTAATGGGTTATTGGCTCAAGTCCAAAGAACTGGAAAGCAATAAGTCAGATGCAGGATCCTGAACCAGCAAGAAAATAAGCAAACTCCCTACAGCATCTACTTATATAGGAAGTAGGCCACACCCCCAATGATACTTGCATGAGGGAGTTAGATTCCACCCTAATCTTCTTCTAATTGATTGTTTTTCATAGTTGACCCCATTATGGAATTGGTTACATTATATAGGCAACATCATGAGCGATTCCTGGAGGAGCAACAGAGGAGTGGTAGATGAATGGTAGCAGAATCAAGAGCCAACTCATGAGACAGAATTGTGGATTTCTTGCTTGTGCAGCAGATAAAGCTGAGTTCTTTGGGGCAGGAGGCTGACTTAGGGAGTGGGGTACTTCCAGACACTTAATTGTGGGAACTGTATTTACTGGCCTACAGAATCAGAGCTGATTGCCTTCAAACTGAGCTTTATGGCAGAGTAGTGTGACCTTGCAGCACTTATTGACAGCCCTAAAAGTCTGTTAGAGCATTGCGTAAGCATGACATAAGTCAGGCCAAAGCTGAGGGTCAGAGAGAGTCCTGCCTTTGGGGACATCATAGAATGGGTTGTTCTCCCTGAACAACTCTGCCCTGAGCAGTACTTACCTAATTTTTAATCTATTAATTTCCCTAGTAAACTGCATAATTGTGAGTATTGTGGACTTGTGCATGGCCATTGCAATGGATTATTTAACCCCTACAGTGCTGTGGGAGGGACAGCTGATGTCAGAATTGGTGAGAAAGGCTGGAGGGTGAAGGGAAGTGTGACCTCACACACTCAGGAAACAGCGTTGGCCAACTGATGCTGGAGATGGTGATTCTCCTCCTCCTCCTCCCTATGTAGCTACCATCCCACCGTCATTCTGCATATAGCCCCCCAGAGGCCTTTGACAACAGCCCGACTTTGGGGATCATGATTTTACATGCAGTGTCTCCGGTTGACATGACAAGTGGGTTACGCTTGACTACTAACTTCAAACTTGCTGGCATGAAGCCACCCAATAGTGGTGTGCACGAAAGGTCTGGCAATCTACTTTCATAAATGATTACATGCAAGAAAATTCTGTGGAGCAGTTCTACTCTGTAATACATGGGTCATGATGAATGAGAATCAGCTTCACAGTAAGGAGTTTCATTTTAGTTTGGGTTCTAGAGAAGGGAGTCCCTACGTGGCACAAACAGTTAAGTGTTCAGCTACTGATTGAAAGGTTCCCAGTTTGAATTCACCCAGAGGTGCCAGAGAGTGGGGGAAAGGCCAGCCCCCCACAACTAATCGCAGGTTCGATAGGTGCAATTGTACAGTTGAGATATATAAATATAGATTATAATGAAGTCATAGATGCATGAGAGATAGAAGAGAAATTGAAATAATGGAGTCAGACACATTTCATAGTAGCATGCTCACCTCAGCCCCGCATAGTGGTCCGCATGGACATGGGAGACTGGAGGGCAGGAGAGAGGGGGAGGGGAAGGAGGACTAGGGGAAAGGAAACAGGGGAGCAAGGACCAGGGTAGAGGAAGGGGGAGCAGACAAGAAGAGAGAGGAAGAGTATGGGAGAGCGCTCCTTGTTGCTAACCAAGGCTTATATATCTTTGGAGGTGGGGCGTGAAAGCCCCCTATTACAGGTAAAGACATACATCACATCACAGGAAGGGGTTGCACTATACCTTATACAGTAATGAGAGGGGGAGGACCTAGGGGTATCCACGCAATAGGAAGTGGAGGTATTGAGGTACACATGTGACAAGATGGGCGGATCCTAGATGCAGGATGGCAGCCTAACTTTGGATGTCACTGAGCAGGTTTGATCTGTTCTCTGGATCTTCAGAGAAACCATTAGCAGTAGGGTGTGAACCCCACCTACAGGGACCAGATTGATGGTCACAAGTCTTCAGTGAAAAGTAACCCATTGTCCTTAACAGCAGGGAGTGGACCCCTCCTGTGGTGGGACCAGAGAGTGGCTTAATGCCTTCAGAGAGGATATCTCTAAGCATTTGACCTCTCACCATATGCTGGCAAACAGCCTCTAATGTTTGGCATATCTCTGGGGGAGACAAAGCTGCGGAAAATTCTCTTTATAATCCCACACCAGAGTAGAAAAGCCTAGTGGCTTACTTTCAAATAATCTTAGCCTTGAAAAATCTTATTGAGCTAAATTCTACTCACAACACATGGGGTTGCCATAACTTACATCACAACGGCTACTTGTTTGATGTTTTTACTGTTGGTTCCTTTGGCTGTAGTTATGCTCAATTTATTCTCACCCTACCATCATCTGTACAGCTTTTTAAAAGTCCTGATGTCCAGGATCAGTTAACTCAGATTACATGGGACTTGGTATTTGAGGAATTCCAACATGCAGCCACGGGGAGAACCAGTGCCGATCCTTGCTACTTAAAGTATGAGCCACAGTTCAGCAACATCAGTATCATGTGGAACTGATTAAAAATGCAGGACCTTAGGCCTTGCTCCTGACCTACAGAATCTGCATTTCAGTTAGAGAAATACTTTATTACATGTGCTGCGCCTTACATAGCATTTAGCTAACTAACTGGGGGCTGAGTCCTTAGAAGCTTGCTGGCTTATTCTCTCTTTCACTTGTGATTCGTGACGTGGATGTCTCACTTTTCTTTAACAGGACACAACAGATTATGTTGCGTATGTAGCTAAAGATCCTGTTAATCGCAGAGGTAAGCAATACTTGACATTTCTAATCTCTCGTTAGCACATAGCTCATCGTAAGATTTTCTAGCAAAAATGTCATAGTTTTAATTTCTATATAGACACACCTACATTTTCTTCCCTTTAAATTTTTGAATACAAATAAGATATTAACATTCTGCTCTAGCCCCTCCTCACCCAACACTGTATCTTGGATATAATTTCAAAACAAGTCAAGCAGAAATTATCAACTGATCAATGAAGTGGCTCTACCATAGCTTGTCTACAGCCTTCTCTGGCTGCCTCTGCAGACATAATATTTTTACTCAGGAATCTGTGAGTTACTCCTAAAGAGGCATTTGCAAAGTGATGTGATTGGATTGCTCATTTTTGGTGGATCTTGCAAATTACTCCCAACCTGTAAAAATGTGTGTTCCCACATAGTATGAGAGGATTTCTACCTGGGATTTGTCCAACTTTGGATCACTGGAGTTCTTTTGCATTTTGATGATTCATTGAGGTTGAAAATAATGTGTTGGGACATCATCTTATCTTCTGGTGGGGGTGAGAGATGGGGAGAATTGGGTAGATAGTGTTAATATGAAACCTTTATGTAGCTCCTGAAAGTGGAGTAAATAAGATTTTCAGGTAGAAATGAAGGAGTACTGGTGGTCTTGATTAACCAAGGATTGTTCCTGAGACCCCTTGTTAACATATTTCAGTCCACCAATTCTTGAACTTGGAGCAGCTTTTACACAATAAAAACAGTAACTAGTATTTGTGTCAGGTGATAAGAGGCAGAAAGCTATATAACAATCAAGATATCACTCAGGCCATTTAACAAAAGTTCAGTTTTGGCAGTTACAGCACAAATCTTTAACCATCTATTGCCCATCCAAGGCAAGGCAAGGCAAGGGGAAGAGGAAAAGAGGAGGGTCTTGCAGACTATATCACACGAGATAGGGAATTCCCACTCCTAGGACTATTTTAATTTAATTTATTTTTTAAAAATCATTTTATTAGGTGGTACTTACAACTCTTATCACAATCCATACACACATCGATTGTGTCAAGCACATTTGTACATTTGTTCCCATCATCATTCTCAAAACATTTGCTTTCTTCTTGACCCCTTGGTATCAGCTACTTATTTCCCCTCCTCCCTCCCCCACACTCCCTCCCTCACGTACCCTTGATAATTTATAAATTATTATTATTTTTTCATGTCTTACACTTTCCGATGTCTCATTTCACCCACTTCTCTGTTGTCCATCCTACAGGGAGGGGGTTTTATATAGATCATTGTGATTGGTTCTCCCTTTCTCCCCCACCTTACCCTTACCCTCCTGGTAACACTACTCTCATTATGGGTCCTGAGGGGTTTATCTGTCCTGGATTCCCTGTGTTTCCAGCTCTGATCTGTGTCAGTGTACATACTCTGGTCTAGCTGGATTTGTAAGGTAGAACTGGGATCATGATAGTGGCGGGGAGGAAGCTTTAAAGAACTAGAGGAAAGGTGTATGTTTCATCGGTGCATACTGCACCCTGACCGGCTCATCTCCTCCCCGTGACCCTTCTGTAAGGGGATATCCAGTTGCCTACAGATGGGCTTTGGGTCTACACTCGCCCTCATTCACAATGATAGGATTTTTTGTCTTTGATG